CTATAATAACTAGCACTAGTATTTCTGATACAGAATCTGATTAAGTTTGCCTAATTTCTAAAGATGACTTATGAACTATTTCCCATGTTTGAAAAAAGATAGTTATAGTTTTGTTTTTTAATCGCAAAAAAGAAATAATCTCTGATGTATTATGCCTCATATCTAAGGCAGAAACAATCAGATTAATAGGGATTGCTGAAATAATCATCTGCTGATTGAGTAATTGATTAATCGTTAGCTGGAGTATAGAGACTCTAAAACATACCTTTAGCTGACAGAGCGACCCACTTAGAGGAGTAATTATAACCAAAAGAGAAAAATAAGTACATATATAATCACTTTGCATTTAAGAAAAATAAACATTTTTTTTTTGTCAGTATCTATCCACAACTCCTCAAGTGGAAAAATTAGTTTCACGTCGTTTAATTTAGTAAAAAGTCTTCTTTAGAGTATATTTGGCTATCAGATTATTAATCGAAAAAATAATCAACAGATTAATCAATTTGCAAAATAATCGTTAGTTGCAGCCCTAATACACACACCCTTTGCATTTAAGATGAAAAGCCTTTTTGTTCTTCGATGCACTCTAGTCAGACCTCTTAAATAACATCACCTGGTTTAGATTCAATATTAATTCTTCAAGGCAGGTTTTGTTATCCAATTTATAAATGGAAGAAATTATCGACAGATTAGTGAAATAATCGTTAGTTGCTACCTTTTTTATGTCCCTATCCTGAAACATGGCGGCATCTTCAGTATCTTTTGGATTAGCGTTCTTTGACTATATTGGTAGATATGTAGAGGTTTGTTACGTTTAAAGAGGGTGGGGTTGGTTTTAACTGCTAATTGGAGAAGTATTGTTGAATTTAAATTACTGTTTTCCAAACAGCGACTTTGTCTTTATTCTAATTATTAAATAAAGAAAAAGTAGTAGTGCAGTGCAACAAGTGGGGGCAGGGCAACACTGTGTTATTCTCTGCTTTGTAGGACTTTGATTTATAAATTTAAAAAGTATTTTTTAAACCATTTAGTTGTATCTTTTCGCCAGCCGCTGGCATACGCAGAGTTTCCCAGTCAGTTGGATGTTTTGAACGCAAACAGGCTTCAGTAAAGACCTCTGTTCTTTGAAGTGACTTCATGTGCTGCTCTGTAGTTTAAACCTGTTTGTTTCTTAGAAGCTAACAGCTGCTCCTTTTCTCTGTTTCAGATTGTGCCGGTGAACTAGAGCCGCTCTCATAATGGACCTCTCTGCCTGAGACAGAAACACGTCTTGTGTTTTGCTCAGCAGCTGGGAGCTTTCAGCAGCCATGCCTCACCAGTAAAATCCCTCTTTTTTTTTTTCCTTTTTTTTTTTTTTGCTTAAAGCAATAAAAACCCAACACCATCCTACATGCCTCCCCATGTAGAGCCCCTCACTTACATCCTACTGGAGTGACGCCCCCCCTGCTCGTCCAGATAGGCTCTGCCTCGTCCTTCTGTTGTTGTCCACCTCCTTCCCTTCAGTAACTACCCGTCATGAGGCTGCTGTGCCAGAAAATGGCCTACACCTGAGGTCCCATGCGTCCAGTGAGCACCGATTCGGACGGTCCCGCTCCTCCTGAGAACCTCTCTTGCCCTTACCCCAGTGTGGGAGCTCTGTCTGCTTCAGAGATGTCCTTGCTCCAGTCTCTGGGGCCGGTACAAAGCTGGCTCGGCCAGGAGCTCGAGAAGTGTGGGATAGATGCCATGATCTATACCCGCTATGTTCTTAGCCTCCTCCTGCATGACAGCTATGACTATGACCTGCAGGACCAGGTGGGCTCCTATCTATATAAATATATATAAACATAAAATCCCTTTATGTTCTTTGATTTGAAGCCCCTGTCACACTTTGACGATTTAGACCAGCGAATCCCTAACCTGACTCCGCCAGATGGATTTGCTCCACATATCCATCTGGAAACCTTC